TGGCTAAAGAAACTCACAGCACTCCATGAGCGCCTAGCAACACAAATGAACCAGTTGCTGAGGGATGGGACTCACCCAGGATGGCTAACCAAAGGGCGAACGATCCTGATCATGAAGGATCCCTCAAAGGGTGCAGTCCCATCCAAGAAAGGGAATCTGTAGCAGCATTTTAAAACGGTACACACGAGCTACAATGGTGGTTCTTCTGTACTAAGCACACTACAAAAGTGTGTACAATAGGTCGGCAGTAATTTCCATTTTAATTTTCAGTTTCATTCATGTTAGGGTCTGTTACGGCTGTTGCTCATCATGGTACGTGTGTGCGTATGTGTGTGTGTGTGTGTGTGTGTGTGTGTGTGTGTGTGTGTGTGTGTGTGTGTGTGTGTGCATGCACGTGTGGTAACGGGTTGATCGCGGGAGGTTGGCTGCTTGAAAAGTAGATCTTCGGTCAGAAAAGGTTGAGCGACCCTGATGTACTCATTTTTTAAAAGATGATATTGGGGGAAATGAGGTGACATTTTTTATTTCTTCCAGAGTGTTCCAGTCATTTGGGATAGATAATTGAAAAGAAGACTTGGGTAAGAAGAGTTTAATAAAATTGCTGAAAGGGAGAGTTCGGGCATATGGTGAGCAGAGAGCAAACATAGGGTGGGGGCTTACCAATGAGTGTTTTTGCATATAAATACAGGTCAGATGCAAATGATGATGAAGATTGGATTTTGAGGTCACGTTGATGTTGAATTGACATCAGATGCACACTGGATAGATTGAATTCAGGGAAAATACTGCCAAGCGGTAAAATGTAGCCAATAAAGAGGAGGGGGCCTGAGACAGAGCCCTGTGGCACACCAAAAGAGATGGATGGGATTTGAAAGATTGAACTTGAACGAACTGGGTGCGCCCGGAAAAACACTGGAGGTGTGTGCGTGTGCGTGCGTGCATGCGTGCGTGTTTGTGTGTCTGTGTGTGTGTACTGACAATGATGTGCAGTCCATCCAGGAGGACGGTGTACGCAGGAATCTTCCTTCAACTTGTCCTACAAACCACAGAATTGTTCACAATTTATGGCAAATTAAATAATTGTGATTCAAGAGGAATTTCGTGGCTTAGGCAAGCACTAATTGCTTGATTACATAATGTGTAGCTCAAATTCTCAGCCCTCAATCTACAAAGCATGTAATCAAGAGTGAATGTGGCCCTTTCTGCTTCAGAAGATAATCACTCCTTATATTGCTGCCCTTGTTGCTCATTTGGAAAATCGGTACTCAAGAAGGTCATTGTAATATGACCGTGGGTCACTTCCCTCTTCTTATGTCTATTCTCAGCGGCGTCCAGCTTCAGCTTTTGCCGCGCCTCCCTGGAGCACACGCTGTCGGCTGAGGAGCTGAGCTACCAGCTGCCACGTCGCTCCGGAGGCAGCAACCTAACCTGGCATGATGGCCGCGGTCAAAAGACAGCACACACACGCACTGTCAAACTGCTGCAGCAGCCTGGCACAGAGGGCATCCAGGTACGAAGGCGGGGAGCCAATTTGTTTGAAATCTAAAATCTAAAATCAATACATTTTTGTTACTCATTCAAAATATGTTTGTATTCAAAAGGTAAAGCTGCTTTTAAATCTTGGTTGGTGTAATTGAGGATATGTTGATGAGTAACACGAAATAGAATGTAATTCCGATTCAGGGGGCATACCCACTCTTTTGTACTTAAGTCCATACGCACTGATTTCCTGCTAATGATGTTTGATGTTACATCAAAAGCATGCCGCGGATCCATTCAGATCCGAGTTTTATGTTTTAAGAGTCCCATGGGACAACTGCTGGAGGTGCAATTCGAAATTTCCGTTTGCAAAGGCTGGTTGTAATGTTGTTTCCTCCTTGCTGGAGGCAGCAAAAAGCTTCCTGCTCTTTGCACCACACACAATAAAAAAAAAAAAAGACAAACCAAAACCAGATGCTCTCGATTGTCATGTTTTCTATGTCCATCCACCCATCCATTTTCACACCCTTATCCTGCTCAGGGTCAGAGTTGGGCTATTCAGAATCAGAATCAGATTTATTGGCCATACATGCAAGAAACACAGAAAGAATTGACTGACTTGATTGACTAACCCTAAAGCTTTGTGTATTCACTGGTAGCTCATAAGTGCTGTCTGTGTTCATAGTAGCTGTGTGAGAACTTTACATGAAGCTGTTCCGACGTTAAAGGTTGGACTCCAAAGGTCCAACGTCTGTTAGTGTCACACACAGCAGATAACATCCGTCCCTCAGAGTTAGTGACACATCGAATTTCAGAAGTGGCAGAAGCATTAATTGCTTCTCTGCTCTCACCTGAGAGAAAGCTGTTATGTAACAGAGGAGAGCTTCACTACTTGTGATGTAACAACGCTCGGATATTCAGACCATGTTCTCTCTAGTCCTACAATTACGGTTCTGATGTGTTTTATTAAATGCTCAGCAGCAGCGATCGAAAGTCATTGGCGATGCTTGTTGTCCCAGAGGTAAAATGAAGCACAGCAGCCTCAACGCCACTAATGTCCACACGTCACTTTTGTGCAGAATTGATTCCCATCTGTAGAATCCATGGGGGGGACAAAACAAAGTGTAAAAAGAAAAACAAAAATCAAAGCATTCCTCCCCGTGTTTGACCCAAAATAGCACACGACACTGCCGACGCCTTTTCTGGGTCCAGCTGCTCACATGAAAGTGAGCCCCATCGTCCAATGGAGTATTCCCACCGGCCTGAAGAAAACTTGCAAGCGGGAGGCTGTGCAATGTACACGTTCCCTGCAAGTTTGTTTAATAATTCATAAGAGTGCCCCTTCAGCTTTAACAACTAGAAGAGGTTTAATAAAAGACGAGTGGTAAGCTGTTTTCATATGATTACACGGCGGACAGATAATTAAACCTCTACACCATGAGGCCTTCCGTTTCCTTGTGGCAACACGCCACCTCATACATTATTAAAAAATAGCTCTCCCTAACTCTGAGGTGTACTTGATTCTGTATTCACACTTTGTACGTTCATTGCTTGTGCCTGCATTTTTGAGGCTTTTGGCTTGCACGCAACATGCAAACTTGTGCTGGCATTCATGTTTGTCATGAGTAATGACTAGATTATTCTCCATTACACTGTACACATCAGCCTTAATGAGGGAGCACTTATGTGACGCTAGCTCATTGTTGGATTTCAGGTGCAACCTTGGGATTCGTCCTTCTCAGTTTAACTGTGTTAAGAGAGCACACCTGTATACTTGTACACTCTGCAAACTCACATCCAAACACAAATCACAGCAGACACCAATCAGAGCCAAACACATGTACTTCCTTTGGGGGAAGTGTCACGATCAAAAAACTTGACAAACTGGTGCTGGACTGCAGCCTGGAATAGAAAATCTTCTTTCCAGGCAGTAATTTTGCCATGTCGCTCCAGGGCAAGGGAATACTATACTTACAAAAACTGCAAAAACTGTAGTGATTAGTGGCCTTTGTGACACCCTAACTATTTCATTGACTGCACTTTTGACTAAGTACATTTAGCTTTCTCATGCTTCCTTCTTATCACAATATATTCTAGAGTATTTCAACCCTCTTCTGTGTCAAAGTAGAAAACAGATTCCATTTTTGCTCATTTCATTAATAATGTTATTGTTATTATTATAATTATTATTATTATTATTATTATTAATAACAATAATAAATGCTCTTGCGATGCTAATGTTTTTAAAAATATAAATTCAGATCAACTGTGTGCACAAACCAGTGCTGTAGGCTGGTCTTAAGCCCTGGTAAATACAGAAAGTTGCATCAGGAAGGGCATCCACCTTAAAACTTTGCCGAACATTTATGAGGGTTCAGCCAAAGAAATCCATGCTAGATCGGTATGGTTTAACAATGACCGCCATCTGTGATGTTAACCTACAGGGCACCAGTGGAAATTCATCTCCTGGTGGTTGAAGACAGAGAAGAGGTGGGATACGGGTTCACAGATTTGTTCTTCACAAAAAAATATATATAAAAAAAAAAGACTATTGTCTCGAAAAATAAAAAAAACCTTCGACCTATTTAACTCATAAGAAGTCAAAATGAACATCATAGCACAAAGGAGATGAGATGAGACGGCGCAAAGGCAGAGGGGGGCAAAGGCCAAAAAATGAGACATATGATGACATGAATGCCAGGTTGGACAGTAAAGAAGCTGAGAAAGATATTTGCCAGACAAAGTGATGAAAAAGCTATGCAACCCCCTCCAAAACCCATATCACACAGGACATGTACGAGGGTAGCAGAACGGTGGTGAGGTGTGCCGTAGCTGTGACAGAAGAATTTAAGTTGTTTGTGAGATGACATTGTGATCTGCAGTAAAAGCAGGGAGCACCTGGAGGAACATTTAGAAAAGTGGAGGCATGCGCCGCTAAGGAGAAGAATGGAATATCAGCCGAAGTAAGACAGACTATATGTGCCTGAATAATAGGGCTGGAGGAGGAGGACTGCGGCTACAGGAAGATGAGATAGCGAAGGTGCAGGACTGAATACTGACAGTCAACAGTCCAGAGCAGCGGTGAGTGTGTTAAGGAGGTGAAGAAACAGCTCCAAGCAGGTTAGAACGGCTCGGATAAAGTGTCAGGTGTGTTACGTGAGAGAAGAGTTTCGGCTTGGATGAAGCGGAAATTTTCTAAGACATTGGTGAGGTTGGCCATGATGTGCAGATTGGAGACAGTGGCTCTGAAGAAGGAAGCAGAGCTAGAGGTCGAGGAAATGAAGATCTTGAGGTTTTCTTTCGGAGTCTCCAGGTTGGATAGGATTAGAAATGAACTCATCACAGCAACAGCCAAGGTTAGATGTTTTGGGAGAAAAGTGAGCTGACTTAGATGGTTTGGACACATCCAGAAGAGAGACAGCGAGTGTGTCGGGTAGAAGTGTCATGAGTATGGAGCTGCTGGGAAAAGAGAGCAAGAGGAAGACCTAAGAAAAGGTTGATGGATGTAGTGTTGGAGGACGTGAGGGCAGTTGGTTTTAAAGAGGAGACGTGCAGAAAATAGTCTTTAATGGAAAAGGATGACGTGCTGTGGGACAAGCGGAAAGGAAAAGAAGAAGCCTAATAATGTTCAGTATTATACTCTGATGTTTAAAAAAAAAAAAAAAAAAAAGAATACTATCACTAATTAATGTTGAAAGAGATCAAACGAATGTACACCTAATGTTTTAGAATTTATTTTACTGCCCAAATGTCTTAATTTAAACTCGTTTTGACTCTGCATGCACTCAGTAGATTTCATACAACAATACAATAATTTGGGATTTTGTAACTCTTGGTGTTGGTAAGGCAGTTTTGCAAACCACCATGAAAGGATCAAATTTGTTTGTGCATTGCTGCATCTGTGCCTCCAAATTGACCCATCTACTAAACAGATATCTCCAATGGAAGTGTTGCTTTTATACTCAGGTGTCATCCTCAGAACACACATTATTTGTCAGCTGAGGCGAGGAGAGGCCTTGGTGGGTAGCCCCATAATGCTGCGTGACACACAGCATGGAGGAGAACCTTTAGATGAGGCAAGGGAATTGGGGAAACAGCACAGATACAACTTAGTAATTTACTGTCATCGTTTTTCTTTTTTTTTTTTTTCAGGAGAAAGAAGCGCAAGGAAAATTTACCTTTGTCAAGCAGATTTTCAAACTCAAAGGGTAAAGGCAGAGATATTTTCTTCCATGACTTTGATTTAAATTAAGCTGTAAGCACGCTCTTAAGATACGTACTGGTAGTTCGAAAATGAAAATTCAAAACTGGTGAAAACAATTAAAATCAGTCAGATCAAAATTATGTATCTCCACATTTTAACATTAAATCACTACTTAGTAAGCATTCATACAAAAAAAAAATCACATCAACAGTGTGCATATTTTTTGTTACCGGATATTTTTAAAGTGTGGTGACATGAGCGCAAACCATGAGAATATGAGCTGTTCTTCTGACTACCAAATCATTACCAGGGCAAATTCCTCTCTTCCCTCCATTGTGCAGGAAATAAGATTACTGCTAACACGAAATTGTTGCTGACAAGAGGACCACAGTTGGTGCTGGTGCTATTCACGTATATTTTTTAAATATTTACTAGAATGGTCAGAGAAGTCACTGGTGACAGTGACAATACATTTCAGTTGGCAACAGTGAAAGCCTCTGCTGTTCGCTTGCACTGCTGACTCATGCACCCATCAAAATAAAAGCAGCACATACTTGACGTTTTGGTTTGAATTCGTCAAAGCTGCGGTGACTGGGCCGCATGTGGCCAACGGGCCCTACTGTGCCCAAATATGATGGAAATCTCAATCACAACAAAGACTGCTTAATTCATGAAAAAAAATTAGCTATTACATAACTTTAATGCATAAAAATGAAGGTAACTCCAAGGCACTATTCTCCTTACTTGACAATATTTCACACCCACCAGACTCTACTCCTTCCTCTTGTACTCATCAGTTTTCCATAATTATTTTATGTCCTTTTTCGATTCAAAAATCAAACAGATCCATCAGCAACTTCCGTCCTCCTCCTCTCTTAGTCCATCTTCACTCCGTCCTACCCATGCACACACCCTCAAATTTTATTCTGCCTTCTGCCATGGACATCTCCAAAACTCGCATTGCTCCAAGCCTCTACTTGCCAACTCGAGAGCCTTCCTACTGCTCTGGTTCAAGCCCTGTTTGGTCTGGAGTTCCGCAGAGCCCCCTCCTCTTTATCATCTCCATCTGACCTCTTGGAAATATATTTTGCAACTTCATCTTTCACTTTCACTGCTCACATGCAAATGACAACCAAATATGTCTTTATGGGAAAACATTAGGTGACACAAAAACGGTTTGGGACCGCTCTACTGTGCTGAAAAAAATATCTGTTGTCTCATTGATTCATTGACTTCAATTTGACTTTCATCACATAACAGTCAACTAGAAAAAATGTTTAATTGTTGAAGAACTAAATATTTCTCGTATACAGAGAGGTTTTAAGAAAGATAGAAGAGAACATTAGAACTGCATCCCTTTGACGCAAACATACAATATCATGTTTTCTCTGTTCTGTAATACTATGATAGAGAAGAGAGGAATGAGACAGCAGCAAGGTTGCCTTTCTTGTCTTTTCATGAGAGCAGAGCAAAATTGAAAAATCATTGTTGTTTAGGAAAAGAAAGGGAGAGTGTTTTGAAAAAGAACGTTAACTAGTTGAAAAAAAAATTTCCATTACATAAACTACATATAATTTGAGAAAAAAATGCCCTTCGGTTTGTCTTGGTCAATTAATATCATACATGATGTTTTGAGGTTAATTTTAAATGTGTTTATTTCTCTATTACTGTGTGGCCGTACAGAAGAAGGTAGGTCAAACAATCGTTTGGGATTTGTAGTTTACTGTATTACACAAGAGGACAAATGCTCACTAGGATGTGTAGTTTACTTTACCGTATTACACAAGAAGAGGAAAACTAAACTGAATAAAAACTCAACTAAAATGAAGCATTTATGAGAAAATAAAAATTAAAAACTAATTAAAAAAAACAAGTCAATTTAAAAAAAGTCAAGACTAAATAAACAATAACTATAATGACAAATCCCACACTATTGAAATAGAACCCTGGAGCAAATAGAATACAATACATATATTTTCTAAGTACCAAGAAATACTTTCCTGACATTTTCCATAGCGAAAGCCAAATCAAAGTATGTTGACTTTTTGAAGCTTGCAGGCACTGAGGTTAAAATTCATTTTGTGCTGTAAACCCAAACTATGCAGCGTAAAATCTTTACTGTCTTGATGGACAACAGGAAGACTATAACTGCAATATATATGACCCATCCTCCCATCTCTCATTCGCCAAGCTCCATATTGAGTTTCAACTTTGCCTTCCATTCCTCATTCTCATCTCTCCCCCACTCCCTGTGCATGTAATGAATGAGGGAGCTCCTCCCATCGGACAGAATTAGGTCTTGGGAAGAGTGGGGGAGTCGACAAAGTGTGAACTGGATCAAAAGAAAATTGGCCAGAGGACATAGACACTGATGGATGGCCGTAAAGGCATGCAAGAGCGAAGGGGTGGGAGTGGGCTTGGGGGGATGCAGAACTATCTTTCACTGTCTCTTCTGCCGGCTTCTTTGACTAATGCAGGCTGCCTTACAATTCTGTTTTTGTTGTATCTTGCCTGCCTTTTTCAGAAGTGTACTTCATTCTTTTATTGATGCCACTTTGCAGTCCCACAGATGTAAGCAATTAAATAGAAATTAAAGCCTTCATGTTCAAGCGTTAATGCACAGTTTATCTTTATTTTAATAATATTCAGAGACAAGAAACAACTACAAACCTTTCATCTTGTCGGCTTTCATGACATCCAGAGAGCCAAACTGTGAGTTACTTTCTTCCCCCAAGGTGCCTTGAAATGAAGCAGAATCTTGAATAAACAGTACCTGGTATGCAATAAAACTGAGTTGCAATGTGCTGCGAAATACTCAATACTGAATATCCGATGTAAAATTCACTTACGATTCCATCAAAATTAGAGAGAAGGGTCAACAAGGCAAATGGTGTATTATTCTTGTTACGCTGATAATAGCGGATGATTATCAGGCACTTGCAGGCCTCGATCACTTAAATAATCACTGTGATTAAACTTCATTATGGGGATTTTAACATTGGGTCAGACTACATTTGCATGTTTGCAGCTTCAATGTAGTATCCGAAGGAAATAATTTTTCCCATCCCTTGTCTGCATTCATTGGAAATTTTCAACACCCTTCCCACCTCAATTCCAGTGAGGAATGAGGTGATGGATGGATGGATGGATGGATGGATGGATGGATGGATGTGTGTACCGGTACTTATAAATGATCAATTGCAGCAGAGCTAAGGGGACCAGGTTGAGCTTGATCTTTCTGCATGTCATTTGCATCCAGAGACACAGCTCCAATTATCCTGGCTGGTAATATAAAAGCAGCATCGAATATGGACTGGATTGAAAACATGTTCTGGCAACTGGCTATGAGGTCGACATTTTATATGAAGCCGCAAGAGTGCAAGCACACTGCGCTTGTTTGCATGACATGTCTGCATAAATAATCCCCGTGGCATGTAGTTCAGCAGTGGAGTCGGGATTTTGGCAGCCGTTCTATGTCTCTCTCCTGTTTTATGCTCGACTCATTCAGGACATTAATCCGTGGATTTTATGTCCAAATGAGAGGGAACAACATTATGAATGAGCAGAGTGAAAAGATGTTTTTCTCTGCCCGCAGTAACTATTTACTGTTTATTCGCCAAATAAATTTGACCCTTTGAGAAAGGAAAGAATAGAGACATACTGTATACAAACTACCTGAGGTTAAAGTCCCTTTCAAGTAAAAATGTCTTGTAAATGTGACATTGTCCCGAGGTGTGATTGTGAGAGCGAATGGTTGTTCATCTACAGGTATGTGTGCCCTGCGATTGGCTGGTAACCAGTTCAGGGAGTACCCCGCCTACTGACTGGGATAGGCTACAGCACAGTAAATCAACATCAACTACGGTGTGTGTGTGTGTGTGTGTGTGTGTGTGTGTGTATATCTATCTATCTATCTATCTATCTATCTATATATATAAAATATATATATATATATATACTTTCTGAAAGCCAATTTTATTTAGAAAGGCACACACACCAAAAAAAAAATAAAAATCCCAAACTCCCTGTCCCTATGTGAAGAAGTAATTGCTCCCCACCTTGTTAAATCACAAAGTAACACAAGCAACACCCAAGCACCACATTCGTTGACTCAAGAAACCACATAAATAGAATCTGTCAGACAAAGTGAGGTAGGCTACAAGGTCTCAAGAAACAAGTGCACCTCTGAATGGCCAAAACAAAATTAAAGTTTTGGAGGGGCCGAGTCAAAGTCCGGATTTTTTTATTTTTATCCGAATGCCCTATTATTCAATAGAATGTTCAGGAGGATATCACGGTACCAAAATATTCAATGGCTGCAGTCCCAATATGCTTAATTGACTTGCTATTTCTAAATCACTTAAAGCACCACACAGCACGCAGACAATACAAATCTGTTCATCCAAAATTGCCTGCTTGTTTTCAGCTCCATCCAGGTGAAGCCTTCACTGTGTATCACACAAGCCCGACGTTGTCCAGTCTGTCCAAACCTGTGGTGCTGTGGACTCAGCAGGACGTCTGCAAGTGGCTCAAGAAACACTGTCCTCACAATTACCTGACCTATGTTGAAGCCTTCTCCCATCACGCCATCACAGGTACTCACCAAAACATGCACTATAGGGATGGAAAGATGCATCTGTTTAATACACTCTCTATATGTCTGGATTACAATCCGGCTACATCGATAGGCAGTGAACTTGTTTACATTGATGCTGGCCATACATTGACACATCATTTTTAGAAGTCATTGACTGAGTTCAATTAATAATATAATTAAAGAAATAATTTCATACTCCAAATTCCTAATACCCCTGTATTTTTTATTCACGTTTGAAAGTTATTTTTAGTCAACTATTATTTGTTTTTTTTCAAGCAGGCAACACAGATCATGGCGGTGTGGAAGAGCAGATTTTTAAGACAATGAAATGCGCTGTGGATTTAGCCAGAAAAATAATCACCTTGACAAGACGGTCGCCATGTGTAGCCTTTGAAAATCCCTTGTGAAATGTAACAGGAACACGACAATTTGTCAACGCATTTCGACTAGCATCACAAAGAGCAACTGAGTTCCGTTAAAATAGTGGGACAGACCAAAAAACTGTTACTGCCTTATTTAGTCAAAAACCCAATCATGACTCTCATCCTGCTCAAAGAATTACTTTCTTTGTCCTGTGAAAAACACATATGTCCGTTTTTGTCATATTTAAAATTTTTACGTTAATGGGGTGTCCACGTTGATGTAAAAAAATTTAAAATCACAAAAATGGATATATGTGTTTTACACAGGACTGTGATGATAGGTTTATGTCGAGAAAAGCCATTGTTACTCATAATTTTGTATCAAAATATCGGATCGAAATTGCCTTTACTGAGTCCAATTCTATCGTTAAAAAAAGCGAATATCGCTTTTTGTCGAATCGTTAGGTCTTACATCCATACCCATCATATCAGTTAGAAAACATATTGTTCCACCGCTAATGCACTGCATCTTTTGTTCCGCTCTCAGCTCGTGCCAACTCAAGCGCAGGCATGTGTAGGAAGGACAGAAAGGTTGCTTCACTGTTCCTGTTTCATCAAGACTTTGTGAATCAGTGCAATGAAGGGCTCGACATATCTGGTTTTGTAAGTTTTATTTAAGGTATGTGGTCGCACAGCTTAGTTGGGTTTGTGGCTCCACAGCTTAGCTTGCTCAACTGGAAGCACGTTTGCAGCCAAATCTTTCCAAAGGAGATTGAGAAAGCATTCATGTGTAGTCATAATAGAACTGCAGACTATTTTGGGTAGAGGAGAAAGCTGGGGGGGGAGGGGGGGGGAACAAACGTTGGGTCCGTCGTGATTCTGATTTCAAACAATTACCTCCCACAAGCAGAGACAGTCGAGCTGTGTCAAAAAAAAGTTATTTTTTTAAATCCAAACTACAGTGGTGCCTTGAGATACGAGTGTAATTTGTTCCTTTAACCAAGCTCGTTACTCGAAACACTCCTATCTTCAATCATCTTTCCCCATTAAAATGAATGAAAATGCCATTTATACATTCCAGCCTCCCAAAAATGTGTAATTTATTGAGAAAAATAGCACTTTATTAATATGCTGCAAATACAGGACTTACACATTTAAAGAGTAGTAGAGTGGTTGTTTCCCAACCCAGAGGTTGGTGGTTCGATCCCCGGCCATTGCGACCAGGTCGAATTCTCTTTGAGCAAGATACTGAACCCCCAGTTGCTCCAGATGCAGTGTCAACAGTAGGTGAATGTGGTAACAGTGTAAAGCGCTTTGAGTACTGGAGGTAGAAAAGCGCTATATAGGTGATGGCCCATTTACCACTGAGAAATAAATTTAAATCAAGCCAACTTTGTTATGATTTATCATTCAATTTTGCTCCTCATTCTGTCTGGTGTGTGCACCTTTGCGACCTGGGGGTGGTATAAGACAGACAACCTTATAAGCTGTAGTGGAGGTTCAGCTCCTCTCAGCTTTTCAGTACGGCAGTAATATTAACTTTAAATGTGGATAATGAATTCAGAATCAAGTTTCAGAATTCGCCTTACAGGGTCCTTAACTGATGGGTCAATCAAGTGTAGTCAAGAAGTTGAGCCAAGTCGATACAAAATATTCTTAAGACAAGATAACCTTTATTAGTCCTGCAGATAGGAAATTTGTCATGTTGTGAACGCGACACTCTCTTTCGCACACTCAATCTCGCTCTTTCTCTCACACTCTTTTCCGTTTTATTTGCAATGTATGCAACAAGCAGACTATTGTAGCCCTTCATAATTGTAAATACAGATTCGCAGATCCGAACATTTCTATAGATATTCTCAAATACACAAACACACGCGCACACACACATTTTTTCCTGTATCACTATGAAAACAATGTCTGAATGTGTTCTTTTTTTTTTGTTTGTTTTCTGTTGCTGATGCATATGGCAAGTATCAATACATGTTTTGCGTATGAATTGGCATATTTGCGCATTCACTGAAGGGCGGCGGATCCGAGCAGTGGCCCCGCAATGAATTCTCTGCCTGTATCATCTTTTGTTCAGTGACCCACACATAATTATGTCTCTCACAGTCTCTCAGGAAGCGCACCATCACAGCGGAACAAGCTGCCCGAGGAGATCAGTGTCACCATTCAATTTGCACTTGAACATTTGGGACATCATTTTGTGTGCTTTTTATTTAATCCTTTGATCACAACTCTGTCCCTTTTTTGTTCTGGGTAAACTGCACAAAGAACGATGTCACATTGCAAGTTCTTATTGAAGAAGGCTGGTTTTCAAGTGATCTACAATAGTATATGTACAGATATTTTCAAATTTTATGTGCAATACATTCATTTATTTTGCTACTGGTATATATTTTTTTAATACATAAAATATACTTTTAACAAATTAAACCCGTTGCTTTGTTTTTGATGGTTGGTCATGATCAGGGTTCGAAACTACTCTCTAAAATTACCAGCCAGTCATAATTTCCACTGGCCGATTTTTTTAAGGCGAAAATAAGAGCTTATGAATGCAATTTGATTGTGTGGCATGAAAAACGCACAAAGTACAACGCATGAAAAACAACAATGTACAGAAGGTGCCAACAATCAATCAAATAATCTTTAAATTTCTCTTGAACTGATTTCTTCAGAGCCCCCATCTGAATCTGAGCCACCCTCAGTCCCTTTAATTCGGTGTTTGCGCACAAACTCAGGCCTATGTAAGTGCAAACTACTTGCCAGAAGTCAATGGTTTTGCTTGGATCAAAGTGTTTGATGTCAGGTGAGCACAACTGGGTCAGAGAGGGTCTAAGCTCGGGACCCCTAGTCTAAGCTTTCAGGCGTGAGCATCAGTCACTCTTTATCTGCATCATAACAATGAACTCTCTCGTGAGCTTTAAGTTCCGTTTTACATTCGACTTTATCTATATTATATCGACTTATATCCATATATATATTTATTATATATATATACTTTATCCATATATATATAGCGCTAACAACTGCCGGTGACGCAGGTCACGCGCCACCGCAGGTTAAAGATTTACCGTATATTGTGGACCAGCAGAGAAACAGGTTTTAAAAAATATCACTCACCATTAGCAAAGCTTCATCATGACCGGCCGTTTTCCGAGTGAAGTGTTTGTGAAGAGTAAAAACAATAAAATAAAACCCCTTCATTTTCATGCTCTTCACAGTGCCTATCTGGCTGCAAAAGCCGCTCATTTGCCATTGAAAGTGTTAATATGCAATTTGTTTTGAAGCCTAATTGTGAGTCGTGATCTCTTTTGAGCAGCTTTTGTTTCTGTCTTTCTCCTCTTCTGACGGTGCTCGCTACTCTCCCAATCTGCATGCAATTAATGAGAGCCATAGCACGTCTGTGGAGAATTGATTTGAATTCCATTCTATTGCTTTGTCTCATTTATGCACGCATGTAGCAAGGGCATTGTGTCTCGAGGACAAAATGGTGCAAGCACACATAAAGGAGGGCTGTGGGGGGAAGATGGTTTTCCAGGAGTTTGGTTTGGTGCGATTTTTTCCAAGCTGTGTCAGAAAAAAATATGACCAATAGGATATTATTGTTATTTTGTTCACAGAATCGCTCGGTTTACTATATGCTCGGAACTAAAGTCACCTGCACACACACAGATGAAATTGAAATTCTTTGGCTGACAAGCCTGCCTATCTGAGTCAGTTTGCCTCGAAGTAGAAACTAATAGAAGGAACCGATGCATGATGTCCACATTTTATTTACACAAGCACCACCATAGAATGGATTCAGTGTTGAATTTTGTTTTGCATTTGAAATACATGTCAACATCAGAGTTCACAAACAATGGAGTGGGTCCAAGCGGGAAATGGAGGTTTCAATAAATTGTGATGTATGCGCATGCGGTAGTCGCGTGGGCTCGTAAGCAAACAGGAAACAATATAAACTCAAACTGTTCATTTGCCTTTGCAGATGATTTTTAAAGCCAAATAAAGGAGTTCTGGGCCTTCATTATCAGGAAGGGCACACATGATTCCATCTTTTATTCTGCTTGTCTTTTAAAATATGACTGCCAGCTCTCTATTAAGGCTATTTATATTTTATCAGGTCGATAATGGTGCAGTGGAGAAAGTACTGATTGTTAGATCTTGCTGCATTTTCTTTTGTTTCCGTCTCTGATGACCTTTCACAGTGACATGCTATTTGCTAAGGCAGGGTTAGGATGGATGGATATATTGGATGAATAGATAGATAGATAGATAGATAGATAGATAGATAGATAGATAGATAGATAGATAGATAGATAGATAGATAGATAGATAGATAGATAGATAGATAGATAGATAGAAACATGGACATATAGAAACATGGACATAGTAGGATTAGTTGACCCTATGTTATGATTAGTAGTATGTGGTAGACACTGAATCCAAACTTTAAAGAAAAGTCGAGTGTTTTTTTGTTTGTTTTTTTACTTGAGCTGTAAAAGGCTGGTATTAAGGAACAGGAATTCACCAAGAATTTCCAGCATGATCTCCAAAGTCTCCTGTCCAGCGCTGTTGCGAGCCACGCATTGGTAAGTTCCTTTGTCAGCCATGCTGACGTGCTGGATCCTAAAGGGTGACGTGTCCTTGATCCCAACAGGAAGACCATTGTGAAACCAATTGACCTCTGGGCTCGGCTCCCCCTGGACCACACATGGGAGCGTGACTGTTTGTCCCACCAGGGCTTTCAGTAGCGGGGGTGCGGGCGATAGCATGTTTTTAAAAAGGGAGATGACAACTTTATGAGTAATGACTCTAATTATATAATTTGGGAGCTGCGACAGCTATGATGAATTTCTCTTTCTGCAGTGAAGGACAATACCTGCCTCTACTAACGCGTGTTTTTTGTGTGTGTGTGTGTGTGTGTGTGTGTGTGTGTGTGTGTGTGTGTGTGTGTGTGTGTGAGCGCGCGCACGTGCATGTGTGTGCACGTGCGTGCAAGCCTGCCTGTTGCTAGAAGCACTATTTTTTTCTGTTTGCTGATACAAATGCAGGCTGCTTATACAATGTGCTTGTTATGGCAAATGGTTTGCTAAATGAGTGTCTCCCCTACGTTAAATGCCAGCTCTTTGATAAATCTGACCCAGAACGAATGCTTTCATGTTCATTCCATACGTTTTGCTGCCGCTAATTGGAAATCTGCAGCGTGGATGTGGATTAGGCTGTGAATCTCCAGGCTGAATTACAAACACGGCCACTAGTTTTTATTCAACAAAGTTTCCCTTAACTAGCAGCAAATCCACCTCCATTACACATTGTATAGTTCCTTCTCATGACAAATTACTTCAATCCCGTTTATTAGAAAAGGTTTTCTATATTCTGTATTTGGTGATATATAAAATCGCTAAATATGAATTGAAAATACAGTAATCCCTTGTTTGCCACTGGTTTTACCTTCAAGACCAGCCGCGCAATAGACGAAATCCTCAAAGAATCGCCGTTAATGCATTGAAATGCCAATGCATGCATGTGAGGTGCAGAAATTTTTTTTGTCCACTAGGGCTCACTATATTCACAGTTTATGCCATAGTTTCTGTGACAGTCAATGTGAGTGACTTTAAAAGGCGGGCCTGGCATGTTGAGTGATGTGGGAGCGACCGATTGAGGATGTGCAGTTGACCGTTAACTGCATTTAGCGATTACCCACTTTCACCCTTTACCTTTGGGGTATTCAAACGAAAATCCCATCTTCTCTTGACAGGACGAGCCTTGCTGCGTTTGAACGGGGAGAAGCTCCAGAGGATGGGAATTGTCCAAGACACGCTGAGACAGGAAGTCCTCCAACAAGTCCTCCAGCTTCAGGTTCGAGAAGAGGTCCGCAACCTTCAGCTCCTCAGTCGGAGTAAGTAACAAAATCATCACGCTTGGGTTGCCTGAGAAGAAACGGTCAGATTTGATTTAACTTGGCTAAATTGACAGCCTGGGAGCAGGTGTGCCTGCTGTGACATAGATGGAAATTGACGTCGAAGAGGCAGCATGTGCTTTCATTGATGGCAGCACTTAATTTGCTGCCCTGCCTCACAGTCACAGCTTCAGTCAACTTTTTTACCAGTCAGTCATCAATAAAATGACGCTATTATTCAAAGCTGGCTTGGATCCAGAAGAGGCTTGCTTGCATTACTGTCTCCACTGTCGTCAGCCATTGTTTTCTCTTATTTCATGGCTTACGATCGCATGGCAGCACAATACTTTTGTTTGCTTTGATATTCACCCTTTGAACATTTTTTACAAGTAACCTTTCTTCCACTCTCAATGCCACTTTGGGTCTACTAATCCTTCTAGTGGCCATTTTCATTGTGACTAGTTGAAACAAAGCAAGTGTGGTATGGGAACCAAGTGCAGCATGCCGAACCACCACAATAGTTGGAAATTATTTTAATGATGACTTTAGTACCAACTGTGACTAGTCACTTCAAAGCCCCGATACAGAGCAGTTAGATTAATCGGTGAGATGGTTAGATTTTATGGACTGGGCCGAAGTCATGATCCGTAATCCACAAGCAGCGTGTCACGGATGCTCACAATTAATTTTTGTCTTAATTCACAGAGAGCAGGACGGGGAGCTCAAACTTTATTAGTCGCAGAATACTCAACAGGCATGGGGACAGGCAAACCAACATTTTCAAATTGACAATAAAAACTAATACATGCAGAAGGTAACATAATGTGCTGATATACAGCAATTGTTTAAACTCTGTCAGAAATAATAATATTGTGTTCCCAGATTGATGGGGATTTATGAAACCGCGCTTGATTATCTGGTGCATCTCATTCCATTTTTGGACAGCATAATGCTAAATAAATAAAGGCTATACCAAATGAATTCAACTCTTATCTTAAGACACCACTGTATTTTTGTCCACGTCTTTTACTGATGCCTGTGTTTTTTTTTTCTTTCACAGTAACCACTCATAGCAGTGAACTTTGAAATAAGTACATACATGAAGATAATGTGCTATATAAATTCAGTCCAACTGAAGCAAAGCTTTTTCCAATTAAGCGGCTTCACAATTAACAAATAACCCCAATCAGCAACACTTGATTAAGCATTTTGGATGAAGGAACAAGAGACACACAGAACATCACCATGTTTGTAAGACATTAACATTTTAAATAAATGGTTTTAATTAAGATCGAATTATAGATTTGTGTATTCACTTAAAAATGCTGCTGATACAAATAAGATCCAGTTACTGATAATAATTGACAATTACACTTTGGGAAAACTGCAATTAAAATTCAAACGGAACTATGGTTGGGCGCGCTCATTTGCATAAAATAAGCAGACAGTAAACCAACAGTTTAATGAATTGTCATTCATTGAGCTTCAAAAATGCACGTTTATATTATAATTGAGTTGAATTGAGTTAAAGTGAGAACTTTTGTTTGTGTTTATAATTTTGAAAAAGTTCAATTAATACCTTATTTGGTCATTTGACCAGCATTCTGGCCATTCTTGTTCTGTTCAAATGCTGTTGACATCACAAGCAACAAGTGAATCAGAAATGCATACATTACTCGCCCTGTTCACACGGCACACATTTGGTCCGACGCTCCACCGAAATATTTTGTTGCGATATATTTTACACCGGAGCAAATTTTGTGGAGCGGTCACATGTGCAAAGCCGCTGAAGTGTGACAGCGCCGGCGCAGCGTCGGAGCAGCTCCACTTGCGGTCACACGTGCAGTTTCTGCTGCGGACCAAAACGACAGGAATGCGGAAGTAAAACAGGTTCGGGTCGGGCTTCTCTCTGCGGATTTTTATTTATTTTTCTTTTAATAAATATTATGGCGGACACTATTCTGTCCTTGTTCAGAATAGATCCACTTGTCGGCAGTCGTGGAATAAAGACGTGTTTACAGTCAATCGTGTGTGCTCCTTATGACTGCCTCAATATATGTTTTAAAAAATGTTATACTAAAACGATGTGCGGATACTAAACTAAGGAATACTTGTTTTAAAACAAACAATTTGGATAAAACAGAATGCGCTTTAATTTAATTGCTATTTAACTGCTAAACAGGAGCGCGGCCGGCCAGACCAGTGCGCACGTATGTTAATTTCGTTTAAACAATCCTATAGAAATAATTTCATATACCTTTACCTATTTATTTGATTTGAATTATTCTATTTAAAGCCTAGTAAGCCACAAGATTTATCTGCGTAATTAAGCAAATGCACATCGAGATTTCTCTTTGCCTGTCCTCTTATTCTGTATTTCAGCGTTATTTCGTTGTGCAAATGCATTGAT